ACCCCCCAAAAAAAACCAACCAGGGAACTGAATCCTATATGTAAAAGCAATTTATTCTTACACAAGTTTGCAAACTCCAACTCTCCCTATGTCCAATGTATTGGAGTGATCAGAGAGCCCGAGCTCAGTGAGGGTTGGGCTTTATAGTAGCAGGTGGGGGTGAGGGATTTCTAAGGTGCAGGACCCCTGATTGGCTGACATTTGACTAGGGGTGTCCTGGTGAAAAGCTATGGGTGTGTGCTGGCAGGTGATCCTATCTACAACAATTGGAATGTTAGGAATTTCCTTGGGATGGCCTGTTTCTGGGTGGTGCCTGGGTAGTCTCAGTTTGTGGTCTTTCTTGGAACCAGGTATTGCCCTAGGATAAATACTGAGACCTAGGCCTCTATTGAGCTTGTCATGGCTGGGCACTACAACGTCAAATTGACATAAAAACCAACCAGGACACCCTCTGATCTTTCCCACCAACTGGGGACCAAGTCCTCAAATGGGGCCATTCTCATTCTGACCATCATAAATGGGTTTGGAATTCTGGTACCTCTTAGAAATTAATTTCTTTTCAATTTGCTATCAGATTTTTTTAAGTGTATAAATCTTTTACCGCATGCATGTCTATGCAGCGTGTGTTGCCTGTGGAGGTCAGAAGAGAGCACTGGGTCCCCTGGGCCTGGAGTTACAGATGGCTGTGAGACACCATGTGGGTAGTGGGAACTGAACCTGGGTTCTCTGCAAGAGCAACAAGTACTCCTAACTACTGGGCCATTCTCTGGCCTTATTTTCTTTTAGAATTTTGACGGATGTATCTAGCCTTCTAACTTCCAGTGTTCTGGGGAAAGCCAGAAGTCATTATAAATTTGTAATTTCTTTGTCTTTCACCTTCTTCTCTCCTGCTGCATCCGGGCCACAGAACCCTGCAGGATCTCCTTCCTTCTCCTGACATTGGGAACTGTCACAGCAACATGCCTGGCTGGTCGCTGTCCATTGTGCTGGGGACTTTGGTTGCCACTCAGCTCTTCCGCTCTGGGGAATATTTGGATTTCTTCAGTGATGACCTCCCTCCCCCAACAGTTCTTTCTTTCTGAAACTATTCTCTGGGCAGTAGACAGATTCGCCGAATGTCTCACACTTTGTGCTGATTTCACTCTTTCAGTCTTCGGCCATTGGGAGACCTGCTCAGTTTCTCTTCTGGCTCTATTCGATCGGCTTTTCCTAGGAGAGCACCCATTTATTTTTAATTGAAAATAAAATCTTCTCTCATATAATAAATCTTGACCACAATTTCCCCTCCCCTGATTCTCGCCTCACAGATGCAATGTCTTATTTATCTCCCTTGCAGTATTAACTACAGGTTTCCTCCCCACCCTCCCACCTTCCCCACCCCTCCCACCCCTCACCAGCCCTGCCTAAGGGTTCTTCTCTGTGAATGATCTCTTGACCCCAACTCCTTTTCTTGATTTAAGAGACTAATTTGGTCTGTCTTCGTGTGTTAGAGGCCTTCCTTCTTCAGGTGTCTGGAGGTTACTCTTGCTTGCTTATTTTTAAAAGTAAGGAACTTCAAACTTAGTTGTGAGAGATTTGCGAAACAAAGATAGTTATGTGTGTTTAATGAGAATCTCTCAAGATGTATTTTTTTCTTAGCTCTTATTTATTATGTAATATTAAGTAGAAAAAAGAAAGAAAGAAAACCGTTGTTCACCCTGATGGAAAAATTAGCAATTATAATAAATATTCTTGAGTTCAGAGAAAAAATTCATCCTCAGCCCTTAGAGACAAACATGAAACTACTTTCTCCCTAAATTTCTCTATTGCAAAAAATAGCATGAGGTTAGTACGTGGCTGTGTGACATGTGTAAACCACTTAGAACTGTGAATAGGCTTGGAGCCGCTCTCTCCCTCCCACAGCCCTGAATCACCAGCTGATGGCTCGCTCATCACTTCCTGCTCGGCGAGCTGCACGTGGGTCTGTCTCCATCACAAGGCTTACTTACACCACAGCAGAGCCACAGCGGCTCCCAACAGCAGGGCCAGGTCAATTGTGGCCCCTCCTGTACCCCCACCACAAGAGGAGGGGGCAGCGAGTGAGTGTCTTTCCTCAGCACACAGCAAAGGTGTGTGTGTGTGTGTGTGTGCTGAATGAAAAAGAAACCTACACGAATAATTTTAAAAATCATAGAAACAAAAGCAGTTACATATCATCTTTTAAATGTTTTGTTTTTGAGACAAAGTCACTGTATCTAGCCCTGGCTGTCCTGCAAGTCACTCTGTAGACCAGGCTGGCCTCCAGCTCACAGAGATCTGCCTGCCTCTGTATTCCAAGTGCTGAAATTAAAGCCATGTGTGGCCACATCTGGCTTGCCTTGTATGGGATTCCCCTTTGAGCTCTAAACCTCTGTACCCAGAGTTCACAGGTGGTGGAGTGTGGTGCTGAGGACAGCCAGCAGCTCAAGGACACCAGTGAAAGCTGCAGAATTTGCCAGAAAAGGACCAAGGAGCCCCCAGGTGCAGCAAAGCAATCCTGTACGCATTGCTGCATGTGCCACACACACTATTTTTGATCACCTGGATGGCATTAAAAGCTCCCCATTTCTTCTCCAGGAGCCCCCTGCCCGGGGCCTGACCTCCTAGGCTTGTGGGCAGTCACATCATGCTCAGATGGCCACAAGGGGCTTGTGCTTCTGATTCTTCTGTTCAGGGTCAAGTGTGTCCATCTAAACTGAGGACAGTCCTGCAGCTGCCTTGGTACACCCCTGCTGGAATTTGCTCTGACATCATAACTCCTGCCCGTCTCCACCCTTCCCCGTACAAGCGGTTACTGCTGATAGGTGGGGGCACCTAATCTGGGCTACTGCATTACTGTTGCCCGTGGGCTATTTAAATCTTCCCATTAGCAGGAAGGAAACTGAGTCACAGAGGGATCTAAGTCACTGTCTACAGCTATGGAGCTCCATCCAGTGAAGCTGGCACTGTCCCATTCCCTGACACACTACCCCTCCGGACTGAACATCAGTGTCCTCAGACCTGATCCGAGATGGCATTCCAGAAAATACCCTGCCTAATTGGTGACACTGGCTGCGCCCCTGCAGCGTTTGCATCTGTGCTCTGTCTCATTGTGCGGGTTCATTAGTCTTCTTCGGTGTCTTTCCCACAACCACCGTGTCTTGCTACGTCCCCAGTCCCAGGGCCTAGTTTTGTAGGCTACAGCCTGGAGTCTCATCCTCTCCCAACATGCAGGAAGGGACTGCAGGCCAAAGGCCTGGTAGGACAGGTACCTGTCCAAGGCGTGCCTCTCCAGGGTGGCCAGGGGAGCAGAACAGGCCAGCCTGCGGATGTGAGCCTGGAAGAAGTATCCAGCAGGGTCCTAGGAGAGGAGCAGAGTATGGCTGGGAACTAGAGGCAGCCTGCTTTAAAACAGGGATCTTCAACTGTCCCCAGACGTTACAGGCACCTGTGCCCTTGTACAGGCAGCGGTGAAGACACTGACACCCGCTGACGATTTGGGACTGGACTTGGGGACAGGAGGCAGCTGCAGCCATAGCGACCCCAGCTATGCACACATTTACCCTCGGATGGCTTCCTCGCTGCTGCGCTGCCTCTTCAAGCATCCTTAACCACAGACCTTCCCAGAGAGCCTTACCATGCTGCATTTCCTCCACCAGGCAACCCAGAATGGCCTCCGAGCCCTCTAATACAGATGCAAGCATCTGCCCATAGAACTCCAGGCCCCCCAACCTCTTCTGCACACTGGCCTCCCAAGCCCTCTCATGGCTTACTGCTGAAGCCCAGGTGCCCTCTTCTCGTGACCCTTTCTCTCATTCTAGGACACATGCCAGTCACAAGCCCATGGACTTTGATTCAGTTATTTCTTGTGTGTCTTTGGACAAGTTACTCAATGTCTCTGTGCTTTTAGCTGCTTACTTCAGCCACCTCAAGGGGCCCTGTAAGCAACAGAGCCCTTACATGCAGAGTGTCAGCCGTGCAGCAGGGGCTCAAAGCAAGGCATCCTCTGTACTCTGCTTTGGTGTTCAGCGTAGCTGCTTCCCTCTGGCCAGCAGCTCTTCATCTTCCTTCAGGAACATACATACCCAGCCACAGCTTCACCTGCAGATGCCCCTGCATGTCTCACTCAAGGAGTTCCAAGCTCTCTTGTGCATGGAGGTCACAGCTGGGCATAGCCATGACTCAGCTGTTTGTATGCCATGTGTCAGTCTCTGTGGTTACAACACTCTCCAACAGCTGTCCCCGCTACCCAGACAGACCTCTCTGGCCCAGGCTCTGTTCCCGAGAGTGGCTGGGAGACGGGCAGGAGTCCCATTGCACTGTATGCTGCTCACATCTGGTCCAGTAGGGTGGCCCTACGAGGAAGGCTCTTCCGTCCTCGCCGCTCCTCTGCCCCACACGCTGAATTTGAGGTCCTTTCCCTAGGCCTGCAGGGGAGCTGCAGCTCTGTCCCTCTGTGTCTCAGTGCCATTGTCAGAGCACCACAGACAAAGCCTAGTTCTGATGCTTTGGGAGGCCAGAAAGTCCTCTGTCAAGGTGACAACAAGTTTATGTCTGGGGACACACCTTGTTGCTACATCCCCCAGAGGGAAGGCAGGCTGTGTCCTTGCAAGTAGAAGGCACAAGAGCGAACCAAGCACACTGATGTATAAACCTCTTAAGCCAGGTGAAGGGTCACAGACCTGAAGTCCTGTCACTTGGGAGATGGGGGACGAAGATCAGGAGTTCAAGGCTGGCCTGAACTATGTATTTAAAAGGAAAATTTAAATTTTATTCCTGCATGGTTTTATCCAAAGCCTTCCTACCAGCAGTGAAAGGAGTCTACGGTACACTGCAAATCCAGACTCAGCTGCCGGGGGCACCTGGGTGGGCTGCAGGACCCTCAGGAGCCTAGAGAGAGATGTCGCTGTCACCGCTGCACCTTCCTCAGCATGTCCCCATGTCCTCCCCAGCCTCTGCTCCCAGAAGTCATTGCACATTTAACCCCTGTCTCCCCTTGGCAGGTACCACGACCAGCAGGACGTGACCAGTAACTTTCTGGGCGCCATGTGGCTCATTTCTATCACGTTCCTGTCCATCGGTTACGGGGACATGGTGCCCCACACCTACTGCGGGAAAGGTGTCTGCCTTCTCACTGGCATCATGGTGAGTACCGGCCCACGGCCCTGCCCTCGAGGTGTTCCAGGAACACAGAGGGGTCTATTTGGGGACCGGGGAGGGGTGTTAGTCACTAAGACCCTATGCCTGTCCTGTACATCAAAAGGCAAGTGTGAACTGTGTGTGCAAACCTAGTTTTCAAAGCCCACCCCCAAGTGAGCTGAGATTGGTTGCCGCTCTCATCCTCGGTTCGCTACCAGGGAACACCAGGGTTGTGATTTACCATGCTCCTTCCTGTGTTCCAGGTTCCGCAGACCTCGGTACCAGTTCTGATTGAGTGAGTTTAGCTAGAGCTCAGAAATATAGTATTTAGGCAGCCTGAAGGGACCCACGCCCTGGATGGGGTTGGCTGCTGGCATGAGTCCTGGTTTGCCCACACGGCTCAGGCCCAACTCTTGACTTTCCCAGGCTTTGTCTTCCACGTGTACGCACTGGATTGCTGGCTGAGTGCCAATGCTTTCCAGCTTGGGTATCTGATAAGGCCAGCAGATCTCTAGGTGCCCAGCACCGAGGTCTAATCTTCCCACCCTCAGCCAAATGCCTCGGATCCAGGGGCTCTGGGACACACATGTCCCTTGCATCACTGGGGCTGTGTGCAGCATCTAGGAGGGAGGTGGTGTGTGTGTTAGACGCAAGAGCTGAGTTTTCACTATACCCTCACTGTGCCCTCTGACCGGGCATGCTTACACTCTCCTGGGTGAAGTGAACCTGGGCACCTGACTGCCCCCCTCATTGGCTCGTGGGCCCCAAGAAATAACTGATGTGACAGTTTGGGGTAAACAATGAGAGCTGTACCCAGGCCATCCCCACTTTTGAAGTAACTGGGAATGGGGGATACTTTGGAGGTGGGACAGGCAGTGTCCCCTTTGATGCCATACTTGGAGTCTTAGAACCAATGCCAGACTTCCTTCTTTGAGCCCAGTTGAGACCCTCCTCTCAGAAGAGGATTGACTTCGAGGAGCGGGCCCACGGTTAGTCCTGGGGCACTGAGGTTGGTGCTGGAGTGGAAGAAGAGATAGGGTGCTTGGAGCCTGGTACGAGGTCCCCATGGGTTGGCCCCCCACTTTCCTGTCACTGCCTTGCTCTGCAGCCCGCTCTGTGCTGCAAGGCCCTCCTTTTGGGGCTCCTTTTGTCTCAGTTCCTTCTCAGTGCTCCCAGGAAGCAGAACAGCTCTTCTTGTGGGGCAGCGACCTGTGTCTGCAGAAGGGAAGGTTCTAGCTAACTCCATCAAGGGAGGAGACACTGTCCTTCTCTGCTCAGTATGGTGGCCATCAGAGCTGATGCTTTTGGGTAGGAACCAGGGGGCCATTAGGAGCAGGGGAGACCCCAGGGCAGTGGATGGCTGGCCACAGCCTCCTGTTCCTTCCAGCCCCCGAGCAGGGCAGGCCCGTGTGAGCAGGCTGCCTGGAAACAGCCGGTAGTGACAGAGGCATAGTGCCAGGCTGGGATAAATCACGGTAAGTGTAAGGCTTTAGAACAAACACCTCCCATCGTTCACTAGGAGTCTGTCTGGCACAGCTCCAGCTGTCACCAGGAAACCAGGCAAAGACTCTTTCTACCCGAAAGGAGCAAAATGCCACCTGAGAGCTGTGCCTTTCCTCCTCAGACTCCTGGAGTGGCTCCGGCCCCACCGCAGCGCTCAGGCAGGGTGCTCAGAGCTGTGCTGCCAAGAGGTGGACGGGCCCCTGTTATTTTTAAATACCAGCCATTCTCCCTCTCAGCATGGAGCTGTGCCCCATCCAAGAAGCTGCCCAGGCCCACTGTTTCCCTGACTCCCTGGCTTCAAGGCTCTTGGTTTCTATTCGAAAGCCTGGTAAAAGCACAGAAAGTCCTGGCCCAAGACACTGCTTCTCCCTAGGCAGTGTGGCCACCCCACCTTCTAGCACCCTTGGTGGCTGTGTGGGCCCACAGTGTTCCTTGTGGATTTAAGTGGGATCCAAGTGGGAAGGACCCGCAGGTGAGGGACCCCGCACTGCTTCCTGTATGACAGTTCCAGCCCAGGCCTTTCCTGGGAGCACTTTGCATAAAGCCTGGCTTCGGGAATATAAGCTTTTCCCCCACAAAGGCTCCAGCGTGAGACATTGCCTCTGTTCACTGCAGTTCACTACTCACTCGGGAAGCCTGGTGGCTTTTTTTTTTCTATTCAACGTGACTCTCCAGCTGAGTCATTCCTTTCTAGGGGCTCACATTGCTAAAGCTACCCCGCCCTACCCCTAACATGATGTATATCTCCTGATTATTATTCCAAGGGCCTTGTCTAAAGGTAGGCCTTCCTGTTTGGTTACCATGGACACCACAAGGCCAAGGCAAGAGCTGCACAGGAAGGGAAAAGGAAGGATTTAGTGTGCCTGCTGCAAATGGCCTTAATCGTTGTTTTCCTCTGGCAATCCAGCAAGTGCATAATTACCGACCATTAGGCAGGGCATGCAACTGTCTGGACAACTTGACACTGTTGGCATAGGCCTGGAGCATTTGAGAGTTCGCTCGTTAACACCAATCCACCTTGAGCCGCAGCATCTGCCCATGAGGAAGGATACTTTGCAACGTCCACCCAGAAGGGAAACAGGCTCTATTTCTGTTATCTGGGAGAGCCTCGGGGTCCCCAGAGACTCCACTTCCCAGGGATGCTCTCTGGCACCCTGGTGTGGGCTGTGGACGAACAGGTCTTGCAGCTGTCCCCAGTAGTGTCCTGCAGGAGAGGTGACACAGAGCCAGTGACTTGGGCGCAGCGTGGGAGTGGCCTGTGCGGTGTCTCTCTGCATGCGATGCCACAGGCCGCCCTCCTCCATTTGTCGTTTTCACCTATGTTTTATTTCCTTCGCGGCCTCTCCAGTTAAGAACACCTCATACTTTCCCCCTTGGGAAACTTGTTTTTCCAGCATCTAAGATTTTCCAGCTGGAAATCTTTCTTGCAAGCAAGAAGTGGGAGGCCTAGTGTGGAGCAGTTGGGGTCCGGGTTTGGGCCCGAATCTGCTGACGATTTAGACATGTTCACCCTGAAGACACCCCTTCTCTGATCAGTCTGCGTCAACTGTGTACCTTGGGGAAGTCTGGCCTTGTCGGAGGCGGGTCCTCTCCCTCTGTGGGAACAGGGCTTGGGTAGAATGAGCTGAACGTTCCCGTTGACATCAGCAGATTCAGATCTTGGCATCTGAAGGCAAGTCACAGATTTGCTTCTCATTCTGATCCCACAGAAGTCATGACAGCAGCTGCCACCTCCCTTATTCCACCCCACCCTCTACTCACGTGCTCCTCTGACCCACCTCTGTCCACCAACATCAGCAGATTCTGCACCAGTACGACACGAACCCCACTAAAGTTAACCAGGTCCCTGATGGTTCTTTCACCTGTTACACTAGACTGCACCATGGCCAAACCTTGCAAACACTCTGAGGTGACAAATGCAATCCTGGGGTGACTCTTGGAAGCAGGGAACACAGACTATGAAACTCAAACCCACAGGGGCAAACAGGACTGGTCCAGGGGGAGGAGAGGGTCCCCTGACGCCTCTCTGGTGGCCTCTGAGGAGCTTGGGTTGAGCACTGGCCTCTGACTTAGGCTGTGTCCTCCGTTCCTCTCACTGTTCTGTTAGTCTTTCTTTCTTTTTCCTCTCTCCTTTTCTGTTTTCTCACTAGTGCTGGTTAGAATATGGTTAACTGTCCTCTAGCTCATTCCCCATCTGCCCCTCCCCCTTCTCTCTTCCTCACTCTCATCCTGGGAAGGACTAGCAGCCTGGTTCTTACTACTCCACACCATTTTTCGATCCCACATCCACAAAGTTGTCTCTTAATCCGCATTAATAGGTTGGCATTATCATTTGTGACCTCCCTAGTTACATTTAGACAATCAATACTCTAAAAGAAATCAGAGCGTGCAAGCCGGCAGGATGACACATTGGCTAAAGGCATACTGCCAAGCCTGACAACTGAGTTCAGACCCACGGACCCATAGGTAGAAGGAGAGAGCTGGCTTTCTCAGGCTGTTCTCTGACCTCCACACATACGCCATGGTTCTCTCTCTCTCTCTCTCTCTCTCTCTCTCTCTCTCTCTCTCTCTCACACACACACACACACACACACACACACACTCGCACACATGCAGGCAAATAATTAAATTTGATAAATTTTTAATTAAAATTGTGAGTATCTGCTGAAGCTGGAATGATATTAAGAAGGTAGCACCCTCTGGAAAAACAGCTACAAGAGAGTGTTTAAATTTTTAAGTTGAAAGAAATTGGGCCCTGGGATTTAGTCCACTTTGCTGCATCTATACAAAAAGAATGTAGGACGGGAAGTTCCTTAGTTAAAGCACTGCACTTCCTATTAGCAGTTCTCTGGAGTCAAACAGCTCGGCTATGGGTCCGGACTACAGGGCTTCTGTCTAGACCCCAGCAATTGGAGCATGACCAATTCTGTTGATGATGTTCCCAAGATCCATGTAGCAAAAAGGGGACTCTCTCTTCAGATGTCACACCCCAGCTTTCCCAGGGTGATTTAAGTGGAATTATTTCTGAACCCGGGGGACCTGGGAAGAGCCCTCTCCTGATGTTCCATTTTTAATCCTGGACACATCCTTCTTTTTGGAAGTTCCATACAAAGGGGAAGGTTGATGCTGGCTCTGCTTGAGAGGAGAGGGAGCATGCATCCTCCCTCCAGGACGGTTTCTTTTAAGCTATTTTTGCTTTTGGCAGCCTGGCTAAATTGATTATAGCTATAGACTGGGCTGTCCAATTGCCCATATCCTCTGAAAATTGGGCACAGAGTCTCCAGCAAGTCACAGATGCCAAGAAAACACAGCTATCCCCAAACAAATGGGCAAAATGAGGTCAGAAAGAAAAGTTTACAGACTGGGCACTGGGCTTGAACTGGGCGGCCGAATGGACGGTGTCACATACCTGTGTTAATGAGACCCTGTGGAGAGTCTCTTTCCATGGCAGCATCTCACATGAGATGCCGTCATCAGCGAGGAGGAGGGCAGTGTTGAAGGAAATGCATTTGTCCCGACTCTGCTGTAGACCGTAGTGTTTCTGAGAAATATTCTCCTCGTTTCTCACCACATTATAAAACCTATTAAGCCAAAAGTGTTACTAGTGCCTTCCTCCCCGCAGCATCTCACACTGCTAACCTCAGCTCTTGAGGCACGGGAGACTCACTGCTGGCATTCCTAAGTCTGCCACCTCTTCCCTAGGTGGTGATCAGGGTGGTACCCATGTTCAAGGAGAGGGCAGTGGTGGGTGTCGAGAATCCAGGAATGGTTTTCATTGGCCACCAGAGAACCAGGCAAAGGGCTTCTGTCTCCCTTCCTCAGGACTCACAGGCCACCAAGCTTCACAGAGGAGAGTGCTTGTAAACACAGGGACATACCACTTTCCCGCTCCTGCTCATTGCTCAGTCAGGTGCACAGCTAAAGGACCAGGCAGGAAAGGAGTCCTCCCATTCCGTGGCTCAGCTCAGGCCTGCGGCTTTGCTTCTCCTCTGCTGTGCTCTCCTGTGGGGGGCAGGTGGGGGCTACCTGAGCAGACTAGGAACATTGTTCTATAGAGGCTGAGGCTGCCCGTCTTAGTCATTCAAATCCTGGCTGCAGGCAGTAGCGTTGTCACCTTTAAAATTCCTGCATGTTGGTGAATGCCTGGAAGCCAGTTCCTGGTGCTGAGTCACAGCCTAGAGCCTTAAGGAGAAAGACCCACACGTGGGGCAGGCACTGTAGTTGACACCTATCCAATAGTGTTCCCTTTAGGAGGCCACACTCATCTTTGGGGAGAATGCATTGCCTCTCCCTTTAGCTAATTCTCAGGACTTCCCCAGCTGTGCACTGCAGCCCACACACAGGGCTGTCTTTCCCCTGGGCCTGCTGGGCTGGAGCTGATGTGAGCTCGGGACAGCATGAGACAGACAGACAGGCAGGCTTCCATGTGCTGGATCCTTTGTCATTTGCTGCACTGTGCAGGAGCCTGACTGCCCATGGGTTAAATCCCCCAAAGACTCTTCCTAGCCATACAGTGCCGAGAATTGGCCAGCTCTAAGAAGACTCACCCCCCGTTGGGGCCATAAGACGAGAAGCATTGTAGACTGCTTCTTGGGTGGGGATATCAGGACACAGGCAGGTTTTGACAGGCTTTATGGAATGCCTTGACCAGTCAGAGCCCCGGAGTCTTGTACCTACAATGCCCACACTGAGCACAGGGCTCCCTGAGTCTTGTGCTTTGCCCTCCTAACTGTGTATTCTCTCTCCTGGGGCCTCTGACGTCCTCCGGCAGGGTGCAGGGTGCACTGCCCTTGTGGTGGCTGTGGTTGCCCGCAAGCTCGAACTCACCAAAGCAGAGAAGCATGTTCACAACTTCATGATGGACACTCAGCTCACCAAACGGGTAAGACGCCTCATGCCTATACCTTCATGTCAGAAAGAGACCACACGCCAGGTGTGGATGAGCGGTTGGGGGAGCCCCAGCTCAGGCCTTCGGCTCCCTGTCCACGAGTGAATCCCATCAGACCAGGCGAGCCACCATTAAGTCACTGTATGCGTCAAGCAACCAAATCATTTTCCTGGTGATTAAATAGCACGCAGTCATGGAAGCCGCCTCCCTGCCTGATGGGGCCACATTAATCAGCCAGTATGGTGCTGTTTTTTCTATGCTCAAATATTTTCATGATTCTCATTAAGAAGGGCAATATAAAGCCTTAAAATTATCCTGGATATTTATCTAAAGCCAAGCCCTTTGTAAACGCCATTTAAAGAGATGATTGCAGTAGAGCCCACATCCCAAATATTGTTGCTTATCAAAATGGCATCATCCGGCTTTCCCCTTTGGGCTTTCTGGATAATGGCTCTCACTTGCAGCCTTATGAACATGGCTTAGGAAGAAGGTAAGTTGAAAATACAGGAATGGGCGATTAGCTGCTGCTCACACACTCCCAGTGGGTTGTCAGAGCAAAGGAAGACCATTTAAGCCAGGCACAGCGATCCCAGAACACAAGCGGCTGAGGAGGAGGACTGTTTCAAGTTTGAAGTCAGCCTGGGCCACCTAGCAAATCCTGCCTTAAAACAAAATAAAAGACAAGCAAAAATTAATAAGGCTCCTTTAGAACAGAGAAAGGATAAGGCTTCTGGGAACAACAGACCCAATAAACTAGGTAGGAGCTGTTTCTTAAACGACAGCTTTCATGCAATCTTGAAACAAGTGGCTGCCTGAAGGGTAGTCAGGTGTACGACCTCGTGAGAGGCTGCTCTTCTCAAGACACAAAAACCAGGACCCGTTGCCCGACTCAGACCCTTGGCCCCAGGGAAACATGTCAAGGGGACATGAGTCTACAGTCTTAGCTGAGGATTTGAAGGCTGGAGGAATTCTTCTGTGATTGATGTTCTAAAGTGGTAAGAATGTTTCTGTAATAGAGACAGGCAGGAAGACAGAACAAAAACAGACCTGAGAAGGAGCCGGCGGCCGGCTGGGGGAAGCCAGTGCAGTATGCAGTTGCCAGGGTCTCTCAGCTTCTCAGCAGAATTGTTTACAGCCTTTGATTGTTGGGTCTTTGATTGGGGCTTCTTTAAAAGAGCTACCATGGATATGAACCTGTACAAGGAAATTTTTCATATCATTGGCATGCAGACCACAGGAGCATCATGGCCCCCAAGCCACCAGCCAGACAAAAACACGGAGCTCCAGCGTGACAGTACGTAGTCCCGCCACTGGCAACGTTCACAGCGAATGCTGCGAGCACCCACATCCTCAGCCTCCTCTCCGCATGTGCCACGGACAAACTCAGCAGCCAGGGAGGCTAGGGGTGTGAACTGCCCAGGTGCCAGTGCCCTCCTGAGTCAGCTCAGTTTCCCACTTTGCAGCCCCCCAAGCCAGGGGAGAGGGGTTTTGCCTCCCGCTCTTCTCCCAGGTTCTTTGCTAAGAACAGGAACGCTAGCGTTCTCTGTTTACTCTTGCGGCTTTCTTGAGCCCAGACTACACTTTGTATTCTCATGCTGTTCCTTTGTCCTTTCCATTCTTCACCCAGCAAATCAGACACCAGAGGAAATAAAACCAAGGAAAGCCAGCTCTCTCGCGGGCCGGGAAATAAGCACATCTTTTCCTGCACTATAATTGTAGAAGGAGATGAGGTTGTGGTTGCTAATTTCAATCTTTCAAAAATAATTCACTAAAATCCTCTTCAAGTTCAGTCACTTTTGGAGGAACAGGGCTGAAAATCAAATCCACAGATATTTATTGCTCATCTGCGAGTGCAAGGTGCCTTCTTAATCGAATAACATCTCACTCTTCTCAGAACACTTAAACCCATGGAAACATCCCTCTAATGTCTTACAATGTTTCCCAGAGAAATAAACACAAGGGGAGGACTCTCACAAAGGGAGACTTTCGAAGCTGGTACTACTGAGACTTTACAGCTGTCCTTCCGTGTGACCTTGACGGAACTCAAGCTGGCTCTGACCTCTCACACCCAGGGTAGCCCCAGAGGGTCCTAAGCTGCCCTTTGCCCTTTCCAGCCAGCAATATGTCCAGCTGCAGTGACTCATGGGCCAATGCGATGCCAAGCTCAATTCTGTGCCCAAGACTCCAGTGAGTTCTCAGAGAATGGTCCAGAGGAAAGCAGCTGCCATGCCTGTTGCCCTTCAGTAGTGGACAGTTAGTAGGCTAACCCGACAAAAGCAACCTCTTGCAGGTATATGCAGTATGAACCCCTCAAACATCTAAACAGAAAGAAACCATGAATCTTACGTAGCCTGTGGATCATAAAAATGCGAATCATTCTCACGTTAATTTATCGCTTGTCTAACTTCAGCCCAGCCTCTCCGGGTAGCACCAAGCTGTTGGTATCTGGTTACAAGTCAATGGGTGGACCCCGACTAACAGAGATGAGAAACATCACGTTTTTCATGAGAGACTGCCAGCCAGCCTGGCAGAGCTTGAGCGGAGGTGCCCATTATGACTGGAACTGGAGCTGGCAACATGAAGGGTGTACTCATTTCTGACTTTCCCAAACCCATGTCTCCTTTCACCTAAATAACTTAACCTTGGTGGCAATGTTACTTCTGTGTTTAATGGGATCATGTCTTCCCACACTGACTTTTCTGTCACTGCCGCTGTTAACCTATAATTATAACTTACTGCCAACCCCTGGGCTACTCCATAATATCTAAGGAAGTGACACGCAGCGACACTGCGTGGACGGGAGATGGCCCAAGTACCTCCCTGACTCCCCACTCAGACCTGAGGTAGCTCTCTCTAGTCAGTGTGATAAGTGCGTGCCTCTGGCTTGGGGTGGCCTCCTTCTCCTTGCAGAAGGGTTCCTCATCCCCTAGAATCACACTGAACTACATTTCCCATGAAATCAGTCAGTAAAGCCAAACCTAGCAGCCCTGAACTATTTCTGGCTCCTGACTCTCCAGGGTAGCTAACTAACGTCAATGTCCCTCCAGTGTCCAGGTCTGACTGGTCTGTTCCGTGCAGCCCACAGGGCTCACTTGTGCACCGTGGCTGTTCACACACAATGATGCCTCCCAGGCTCCTCTTGCCCATCCATAAAGCTCCGTCGTCATGGTCTCCCTGCCATAGGACCTGATTATCTTGCATCCACTCGTCAGCCTCCCCCAAAGTGCGGTCACCCAGCACTTTGCTTTCCTTTGAATCCCTTTAGACCTGATTTCACCCTGAACATATCGCTACCACACTGAAAAACTTCGGGCAGACCTGCTGAACAGTCCTAAATAAAACTTGAACTCTGAGAAAATGTCAAAGGCTGGGGAAAACTGTTTCCAGCAGGCTTACTCAAAGACTTACTCTCAGCAGGGGTGTTTATAGTGAAACAGAATGGCGGTCGCTGTTCTGCAGATGGATGGCCCACAGCTGGTCTGGCTCCCCAGCAGATCCCCAGAACAAGCCTTTCTCTGTAGACTTCATTAGGTAATCAAACTTGCCATTACCAGGAATGCGAATTCTCCCAGAAGAGGATTGCAAATGACGTTCCCACAAAGGCGGTGGCCCAGAGAGACTGGACATGGTGTTTCTTTACCGACAGGAGTAGAAAAGCAGCCTTCCCGAATGGGAAAGACTCTGGGGATGAGCGGAGTGAACACTCAGACTCAGAGAGGGGCGAGGAGGGAGGGGTGGATGCCCGGCATATGCAGCTGGCTGTGCCACCCGGGATCTGGTTGGTCCTCCAGCCACCACCCAATGCGGTCAGTTCCTTGAGGTTTGCATGGAAGTGAGGGTCCCAGGCCTGCCTGGAAGGAGCCAGTCTGATTCTACATTGGTCATGTAGCATATTAATATCACTGTGAATGATCTGCCATTTATCACAAGTCGCTCCAGGTAGAGCTCCAACTCCAACACTGAAACACAAAATACATCTCCCCATTCCAGATTCCTACCAAAAAGGGGGACGGAGCCCTGTCCAGGTGAGGCAGGGAATGTGGACTAGGATGGAGGAAAGACAAGGAGACGTAAACGGGGGGGGGGGG